AAAATTTAATCCAAGAATAAAAATACTGTACTGTATTTACAGAATTCGAGATAGATGAGATTCTGCAAAATAATTACAGAGAAGTTTAAAAATTAAGAAAAGTTATCGAGATCAAATATTTTAAGATTTATTATAAATCTAAACTATAAAATCAAATGTAAGCAAAGACAACACAACTGATATTACTTTAAACTTTGAAGTTCAAATCCCATGGACAAAAAATTTGAACTTAAGACGTCAACTTATAAAAAATATGTAGTTACTAGCAATCTAATTTTTTAGTTTCGTTTAAAAAATAAAATTTTTGTGTTAGCCAGGGGTTTTACTTTCTTGGTTTTTGTAATACGGGAAATTATTGTAATCGTGTAAAACTTATTTTTAATAATATTTCATAACCTACAGCCCACACAGAATTTTAACTTTGTGCTAGTGTCATAGTGTTTTTAAACAAATATTTTTTTTAAATTAAGATTTTTACACAATTCAGCAAAACTACTCCTATTAAGTCTCTGTTATTACTTAAATTTTAAATCCTAGTGTATTCTAATTATAAACAGTTAATTAACAAATCAGGACGGATCTTACTTTGCAGTCCTAAGTAAAATTCATTTTGGTGCTTTCGCTAATTCTGGCACTCTTATTTTGCTAATGTTTCCATGCGTTCGTTTTTATCATAAGAGTAAAAACCTTAATAGATGTGTAGACCCGCATCTGAATTAAATATATTCGTTTATATTTAACATGGAAAAGGAAATGCACAGCGAATTAATGTTGATTTAATTTGTTGGCGCAGACCACAATATGGGATATACAGCTGGCTTTAATTTTATCTATTACAAAAAGAACTCATCCATAATAAAATTGCCCACATGTGGGAAAGGAAAACAGTCAATCCAAAAATATCTTTTGGAGCAAACCCGGACCGAATTAATATTAAATTTGTGATATTATACTCTTAGAAATTCAATTCTTAGAATATATATAAAATCAGTTATTTTTATTCTGTATCCATTTTCATTCTAAACATGTAGTTTTAATATCGAGATGATAATATATTTAAAAATGTAAAACTACACTAAACATACTTCCATGAACTTCAAAATTTCTTGCGTAAACTGTTCGAACTTCTTACGCTAAGTCCAGAATGTGATGCCATATATAAAATATACAAAATGAATTAAGCATTTCATAAGCCTTTCCATCACAGAACAAAATAAAGATAATGTAAAAGAAAAATCTTTTACATTATTGTTGACAAGACTATGTCTTGTTTATAAAATCGTATTGCCTGCTGTGTTACCAGCTTAGAGGTATGAAGGAGTACTGTACATGTCAGGAGTTGCAATTTGGCACAGAGTATTAGGTGCCCAAATCGTGCACACACAAAAAACCAGACTTGTAGGTACTCAGGGAACCGAGAATCGAGTCAAAATAAAATACAAAATGGCGACTCTCTCTACAAACAGGCAAACCGAATTCAGATGGTGAGAGTACCACACAACAGTTGTTCTAGGAAGTGTGCTTTGACCTTAGGACTGAACACGTAGTATTTTCTTTGTTAAATAAAATTTGTAATCTAATTTTGTAAATTTGGGAGTGCTTCAAATATGTCATTAATGTAGGGTTTTATGTCGTTATAAGTATGTTTTTTAACATTATCTAGTATAGTAAAATCGTGGAACCGATAAAAATTTGACGTTATATTAGGGTTGTCGTTACATCTGATGACGTTATAATCGGGTTAAACAGTATATTGTTTGTACAAAATAAAAAAATTAATTTTAGACGATACAATAGCCACGATTATTTTTTTCAACAACGGGAAATTTTTGTTACGCATCCAAAAAATTCAACTCGAGCCATCACGCAACGGAGAGAAATTTCGAAATTAGACAGGTTAATTTCATCGAAAATGTATCGCTTAATAGTGAGTCTCCGAGACATAGTCTTGTCCCAAATACGGTTTTGCCGTTTTACTTGTTTTAAGTATATTACTCCGACTGAAGAAAGGAGAAAACAGAAATGTACATATTAGAGTTTGAATTTAATAAAAAAAATAAAAAGGTCTAACAAGTAAGCATAGTTTCCTAAAAAACTTTATGTGATGTTATGAGTCCTAAACTAATAGCCAAATATGTAGCTACTAGTAGCACGGGACGGCCCTAATGGGGGTTCTAGCAGCATCGGTGTCATTCCGTGGTATAACTAATAAATTCATATTACAAATAAAAATAATAATATATTGAATTTCTCATGGCGTACCCTACTAAAACCCGGTCAAAAACGCAAAAAATCGCATCTAAAATAGTACAGTAAAAGCCAAGTTTTTCAGGGTAATCTTTAACCCTCCTCCCCGTGGGGGAATTTTAAAAAATCCCTTCTTAATGTGCATTCTCATGGCATACCCTACTAAAACGCAGTCAAAAATGCAAAAAACTGCATTTATTGTTATTTTAATATTGTTACGCAAAAAGCTGAATTTATTATTTAAATAATAGCTTGGGCCGCCCCTAGTGGCCATTCTAGACATACCGTTACAGATATGCAATACACGCGATCAACGGTTTAGATATAAGAAAAAAGAAAATAAGGATTGTTATTAAAACATATTTACAATTTATTACTCATAAGTTTATCGGATTTAACCACGGACACAATTACTCATTCACAAACAAAGTAATTTCAGTTAAATATCTGACGTGTCTTTTCATTTCAGATACTTAACTCTATTTTATAACATTACTTGTTTTGTTTACTACCGAAAGAATATCTAACTTGTAAGATAATTGTATTCAGTATAATTAAAGTAGTTAACTACACTAAGTTCACTTTGTTGCTATTTTAGAATTAGGTATTTTAAGTTATAAGTTAAAAACTAAACTTGTCAATATGTCAAGTAACTTAAAATATATAATTCGAAAATATTAACTCATTTTCACATACAAATTGATATAAAAGTTGATTAAACCAAAATGTATTTGATTGATGATGGATTAAGTAAAGACTTTTGTTCATAAAAGAAACTTCTGAGTTGTGATATTAAAAAAGTAAGTTATGTGCATGTCTTATTTTGCCAAGTTTCATATATTTTTAAGAAATATTATCCGGTACATTTTTCTAGGAGATAGTTTCTATCTATGCTCGAAAAGTATATCATATAAATGTCAGGATGGATTTGAAAACATATTCAATTTTCAAGAAAAATTATTCTATGTACAAACTCCATCTATGATGTCTGATGCTTCATTATTTTAATGTAAACCTACAAACACAAGAAATATACCAAAGCGAAAAGTCTTTCAGTAACAGCAACGAATTCTTTCTCAAATCGCAACATTTATCAAAACTAAGATATAATACAACACAATATAAATTTTTCAAAAATTGAATTAATTGTAACCGTAAACAAGTATTAAAATTTTTTCATTCTATGTAAATATACGTATCTTTATGTTGAATGAAAAATTATCAATGTTTATTTACTGTTTTGCATCCATTTATCATCATTTCTATCGACATTTATGCTTTGATGGCAAAAAATTTCTAAGTTTTAATAAAGACTTATAAAAAATACTATACGGGTTATAAATTATAGTTTAGTAAACATGAATGTAATTATTATTATTATAGTTACAAAAAGTGGTAATTTGTCTTATAAAATACATTGTTGAAGGTGAAAAACAGACCCATTTCATAATTAATTCATACCAAAACATGAATTACTTTTCGCGCAAAAATATATTTTATATTATGCAAAAATATTTGCTCTATTTTAGATAATATTCTACATAGAAATATAAACGAAGCTTACATTTAACTTCTATAACAATATGATGACTAAACTGAATGAAAAAAATTATTTAATATGTTGATATGTAAAAACTCGTCTATGTTCTTATATATACACACGCGTTTAAATTTCGGAATAGCAAGTTATAAGTCCAAATTATTGTAGGAATTAGTCGTTTCTAACATATTTTTTGGAATATGTTGAATTTTTATTACAATATCTAGTGAATTAAACTAACTTATAAGTAAAGCTAGGATATCTAAGCACAAAAAATCCTAACTTATATAATTTTTAGTGCCTAGATATGCTTTATTCATAAGTGTCAGCATAATAAAGAGTTTATGAGACAGACATTGACCGTGATATCTCCGTTAAAAAAAAAAAAATAATCTTAATGAATCAATCTTATCTAAAACTATAGATATAGTCTAATTATATTCCATTGTATCGATGTGCTGTACACAAACTTTTCTATGATGGATAAATTAGTTAAAAAATTAGTTAAAAAGAAATAAACATTTAATGCCTAGTTGTAACACATTAAATTTGAATGCCGTATCTCAATTATCCATATAAATAAATTTAGAAATACGTCAATGGAATTTCTTCGATAACTGCATTATTTTAACGAGAAAAAAAAACTGTAAGCTCTTCGATGTTATTCTTAAAGATATAAAGATAAGAAGAGAAGATTAATTGAGAGATTATTGATAAGATAATTATTACGGTTTATAATTTTTCCACATATTTTAACAATAATTATTGTCGATTGAAACTGCGAATTTGAAAATATTTCTATTTATTTTAACATTAAATAAAGAAATAAAGCAATCATAATAATAATTTATGAAAAATTAATATATTATGAAAAATATTTTTAAATATAATAAATAAGTAGTTACGTATGATACGAATTCTTAAACCACTTTTCAAACCGGACAAAACAATTAAACTTTAAACGTTTTCCTCATTAACTTAATTTGTTTTAATTCCACAGTTTTTACCAATTATTAGCTAGCTTATGCGTTATTTGTTTAAAATCATCAGCTATTTTATAGAAAAAGTTCTTAAATAAATTTGAAATATTTAATTTACTTTAGTCAAATTTACATTTGCATCTATACCATAAACTTTTAAAAACTATTTTAATTTATTCCACTCAATGCTATAAGTATAATTATATATTAAATGAAAACATTTTTATACTCACAAGGCATAGCTATTGAAAGATGCGCATTTACGTAGGCGATTGCCAATAATAATACAAATATTTTAAGCATCTTTTATATTGATTCCTTTTTCTTTTAAAAAAATAATAAAATAAAGCAAGCTTCAAACAAATGTAAAGACTTTACTGAAGGCGTTTCAGCTATTTATTATAGATTAAGTATTTTAAACAAATATTCTACTCGTGCCCATTGGTCAGTTTAAACTGTGCCACAAACGTCATCGACTAATGCAATCTGATTGGATCCTTACAAAATTCTTTATTGTTTCTTTTATCTAATTTTTCGTGTTACTAAAAAAATAAACCGAGTTATCATATTTAGTAAACAAATTTAATTCGTATCATAAATAAACTAAATTTAAATTTTGAAGAAAAAAAAATCAGAGTTGACAAATATATTTATTAATGTTAAAAATTTCGCTATCTTGAAAATTGTACTTTTTAATCAGTTTGAGTTTAAAAATCACGATGACATCATTTCTTAAGAGTAGAAATAATTTATTTCAAATAAACTCAAATGATAAATTTTAAAAATATGTTTATTTAATTCTTGTTTATAAAGTTCGTTTCATATGACAATTTGTCGTCTGCTTTTGTCGACGATGTTTTGAAACTGTCATTGTTGCCAGCCGGACAAAAATATTTTAATATTAAAAAAAATCATAAGTATATTTTCGAATATTTTTAACGTATTAATATATTTCTGAATATTATTTCACAAATACGTGAGCCGTTCACAGCCCGGCACACGTATTTGTAAAATCTAAGTGACTCGTACAACATGGAATTCATATAAAACAGAATTATCAACAGTGTTATAAGGGGGACTACTGTAATATGAACGTAAATAAATATTTTAAAAAACTTAGAAAGTCGACTGGAAAATATTGACGAATTCCTGTTTTTCCCCACTACTAAAGAGACTGGCGGCCGGATGGCCGAGCGATCAAGGTGGCAATCTACTGCTCTGGGAGACCCAGGATCGAATTCGGACGGGTCGAAAAATCCCCAAGAATTTTTCGGGGGGTCGAGCATTACGATTACGAGATTTCTCCTCTTACTTCAAAAAACAATATCTTCTTTAATATGATCACCATCATGCTTCACATCGCATAACAATACTATTTTTCTTACAATTCCAATAATATCTTCATGCGTTAAAACAGTTAACTCTTCATCGTACTTTAATCCAAGGCAAGAGTTAAGTTTCAATCTACCAATGTTAGACAGTCCGGATATGTCGGCCTCCATCCCTCACCATCCTGGCCGAACCCATAATGGGCTTGCTAAAAGAGGCCCTCTTAGTGCCCTCAAGGAGTAAAAAAAAATTCAGACTACGTAGCTTTGTATTGTTATGTTGTAGATGTCGACGAAGAAGTAAGTAAACGAATAGGGATCGAGTTCTATATCGGGGGGAATGGAATTCGTTCATGTAGCGTATGGAAAAAATGTACTGGAGAATGACAAAAAAGTTCATTTCAAACAACAACGAAAAATTTATAATTTCTATAATAAATACTTTGTGCATCGCCTTTATAAAACATCAAAATGTAAATTGATTTTATTTCTACTGCGCAGGAACAAAAGTAATCATTTTTAAAACTTGAGCAAAATTTTATATATAACTGATGAAATACGCTATTGATTATCAGTTGGATTATCCGTGTATACATCAGCATATTTAATTCAACGGAATTCTTCTCGGCATATCTTTTCAAATGTTATTAAAAATTTGTTCTCACTTAGAAATGAACCAATTTGAGTGTATAAGAAAAATTTAACTAAATTTAAACAGCTGTGATCAAAAATTTTAAGTGACCACTGTTTTATGTTATTATCTTTAAATACACTACATACTTCAACGATGGAACCATTGGACTTTGGAGCGACCTTCGATGGAATAGATTCGTAAACACTTCAAGAAAAAATAAATGTTTCTGATTGTAATCAATATAACTTCTCAAAATCTGTTTTCCACAAGCATATTTAATAAATTCTACCCGAAAATAAAACTTTCGTATTGAGTGATTGATAAATTATTTAAAAATAATAATAATAATAATAATAATGATGAACGCAGAACAAGTAACTTGAAAAATGGCGGCATGAGTGATTCTTATTTAAAAACTCATTTTTTCGGGTTATTTTTATTAACGTGAAAACTTACAAGAGAAACACTGTATTAATGAGCTTGCTTCTCGTCACACATTAAGAAATAAGAGAGAACAATTTGTTCTCTTTTTTTTGGAATTTTTGTTGAAGATAGAAATATTAAAATTGTAATAGAAAAATAGCAAATTGAAAATAAGAACCACCAGTCTCAATCCGACTAACATATCCTATTTCAAATATTTTGTAGTTACTAAATGTTAATAATAAACGAAAACAGGACATCTTATGACTTGTAAAGAGGAACGATCGATTAATATGACCTTCAACTCTATTCGTTGATTTCAATATTCTTGTAGAGGGTTAAATTACTACACGAAATTAAGATGAAAACGATAAGTAGTACCTAAATGAAGATAAATCTTTTATCATTAAGTTAATCTCAAAAATGAAATTTACGCTACAAATTGACTCATCTTTGTGATGTTTTAAAGTTTCTTCTAAAGGTTAAACTTTATCATATTGTAAACAATTCAGAGTTTATCAAGATTTTAAGAAATTGAATTTAAAATGAACTTACTTGAAAAATTTCTAGATTCGAAAAACGTAAATCAGTTAGAATTAGAAATTTATCCTGACAAGTTTCTTATCAGTTGTGTTGATAACCTTGGTTCACCTTTAGCCCTTCGTTTTCTTACCATTAAAGGTCAAGATCATAAGCAGATAGATGAAAATATAAACTTCAGAATCATTCTAAAGCTCAAATTTATTACATAATTGGCGATTAAAATATATTTATACTAACTAAAATTAATATAAAGTTGAATTTGAATAATGAAATTTCTACAAAATTAAAAATATAAATATTTGAAGATAATTTTTTAAATTTACATTTTCATCTGTTTTCAAAGCAAATCCTGAATTTAAAACAGACTTTCAAATATTTCCTATTTAAATTTTTATATATAATATACAAACTGTTTGTTTGTTAATATACTTCATTTATTTATACAGTATGTTGTTAATTATATTTAAATGACTTAATAGGGATATTAACAAGTCATTTATATATATTTTTAAAAGAAGAAAAATTTAATTGTATAAATCATTATATTTTCATTCAAATTTCAAGTTTAAACATATTTTTAATAAAAAATATATATTCTTAAATTTTTAAAATATACATTCACAAGAATTTATACAATGACTAAACAAGAATGTATTTAATGTATAATAATTACTATGTCAATTAAGCAAATTTATGTGAGGATAACTATTAAAAATGGGAAATTGCTTGTAATTGTATTACACAAGAAAAATTGCAAAACAAGGCACTTATTAAAAAAATAAATAAATAAATTTTATAAGTGTAGTAATTTTATGGTGATGTTTTAAAATTCATTAAGTCTTTAAATTCTGTCCTATAAAATAATTATCATAAATCCTGAAAACATGAAAATTTATATGTAGTAAAATATATGTTTGTTGTTTTATTCAATATTTCATTTGAAATACAAAAAAATTTTACAAATTAATTAAAATACATTAAGGCAAAAAACTAGTAACAAAATTAATACATTATACTCAGAATACTTTAATGAATACAGTCATTAACAAGTTGATGACATATATGACTATACATGTGCATTTTTTGATTTGGTGACTAGATAACAAAACATCTACGCACTGATCACACCACCCAAGCATTTTTCCTTTTACCAATGGGATACTTCTCTTTCATAAATTGTTCTATTTCATTGTTAATAGAATTTTTCTTCAAGGATAATAGATCATTTAAACATTAAACTTACAAGGATTAATTGTGATTAATGTTTAAAAATGTGACAAAAATGTATGTATTAATTTTTATATGATCAACATTTTTGGGAGGAATTTTAATGGTGTTATTTCTTTTTATAAAAATCATTTCAAACACAACAAATGTTAAAAGCATCAAAAAATTTTTAATATAACAGATACACATTAAAAAAATCATTCTATTCATTTATACTTCTACATTCATTCGAAACTAAAAAAACTATAATTAATAGTTTAAATTCTACTGGAGGATAAATTTTATAAACATTCCTATCTGCAACTATTAAAATTTTATCCAAAATATTAAATTGTCATAAAAATGTTTTAATTCAGATCTATTGGTTGAACTTATACTTTTGCAAACATATTCCAATATACTTACTAAAAATAGCAACAAACAGCATCTAGAGAACATGCATTCATCAAAACTGAAATTTCCATATCATAACTGTACAACATAATTTATAAATATGCAGTTTGATATTTACATTTGTCATAAATCAGTATATATATATTTATGTATATACAGTGATAAACTCTGTCAGTTTTGGACAAACAAATTTGAACTGCATTTAAGAAAATTATTATTGTACTATTGTACAATACTGATATTCACTTTGCATATAAAGTTGTTGTATAATAAATTTACATTATGTACAGTATTATACAATATGATTTGTGGAAATATGAAGGACTCGGGTCTGCTTCCAAATTATGAGTGCTAGATTTTTATGATAATGGAAGCATTTTGTGCTTATTATATGTATTATATGGAGGGTTAATTTCACAAAAATTCCATATTTTATATATATATTTTTTTTTTACATTCAAAATTAAATATCTATATGTATGCAGTAGATACAATTTCATTTTATATATGTTTTTTTACTTTTGTCATTAACAAAATTATAGGAATAAAAAATACAGTATTAAATTACTAATGCTTAAAACATTAAAATTACATTTAAATAAGAATCCAACTCATAAATGAACCTATTATTATAATATTTTATAAAATTTAATTAATAAAATATATGATTTATGAATATTTTAACAATAATGTTTGTAATATTATTGATAGTATATCAATAACAAAAAAATATTTATATCAGAATTTAATTATTAAAAAATATTTTAATTAAGAAAAAAATGTTTTAAGCATCATCTGAAATACTTTTATCTGAAGAACTAATCTTTCACTATTTAAAATTACATTTTACACTTTATATTTGTTAGATTTAGATAATCATCACAGTTATTTCTGGAGATGGAGGGAAGACTATATATATAAATGATTTTTTTACTCAAGTATGCTTTTAAGTATAAAATTTATAAGACTAGGATATATTTATTTTTGTCCTGTTGCTGCCCTCCAAAAAGAAGCAACAGAAGCTGCAGCAGAAATAAGTCCACCAGCAAAACTTGTTGTTCCACTAGGCTGTAACTGTGAAAAAAAAATTTTTTATTAGTAGTTATTCCGATTATAATTATTGTTCACATTTTTAACAAAATTTAATTTCTTAATTACAAATAAGAATTCTTTACTCACTTTTATTAGAAGTTCTAATAATAAAGCTTTCATAAAGAAAACTCATCTATGTAAAGATTATTTCAAATTATAATGAAAAATGAACAAAAATTAAATCTGAATGCAAAGCAAAATAATGATGAAATGAACAGCAGAGTAAAATTTATTAAACAAAGTTTGTCAAAAGATTTGGCAATTTTTATAAAAGCAATTGTTTCTTTCAAATCCAATTTTTACAATTCAAATACACAGAAAAAATGCAGTTGAACTGATGATATTTTATTTAATTCTTTATTATTCTATCAATATATAAAATTTATAATGTAGATATGTAGCACAGGCTTTAGTCTCATAAAAATAAAGTTCTTTGTTAATTCTTGTTTATACAAATGGTTCAAAATTTATCCCAAATAATTAGAAGAATTTTGTTTTCCTATGTCAAAATTTTGTTGTCAAATTTCTTTACAATGGTTAAACATTAATAATATTTTATATAAGAACCAGACTGATTTTCATCCAAGATATTCTATGATGGATAATATATTTATTTTATATATATTAATTCAAGAAACATTAATGAGACAGTTTATGCTTTCTCTGTTGATTTATCAACAGCTTTTTGATAAAGTGGGTAAACTTATTAATATTTAAAAAATTATTGAACAATGTTGTGTTAACTGTTCAAAATCTTTGTTTTTTTACTAGTTTGAGAATTAAACAAGGAAGTGTTTTTAGTCCAGTTTTAACTGAAACTATTAATAAATCTAATTACAAAGATATCCAGATAAAGATAATCACTCATTATGTGGATGATATATTTTTAATTGCTTATTCCAGCACTGGTTTACATCGAGTAATTAATATTTAAATAAATATATGAATGATGATAATTTGATGTTAAATTTTAAATAAACCAAAAATGTTTGCATGAGAAAGTATTCTGATGGTTTCTCATTATATTGAAAATATATAAAACTTGACAATAATGTCCAATAGACAAAAACTGTTTCATAAGATTGCCAAAATTGTTTATTATGAAATATTTTCAACTTTATTTAATAATTAGTTCAGATTAACAAAACAGATAAAAACAATAAAAACTATTCCTATAGCTTGAACACATCACTTACAAGAAAACATGAAAATAAATTTTGTCTTAGAACTTGTTAGATTCAGTATTTGACATAATTTTTTCAAAAATATCAAATTTTTAAAATAAATATATGCTACATATTTTAAATTGCACTACAAGTATTTTTGATATACAGTCAACCCCCCTATAACACTGTTGATTTTTCCATTTTATATGAATTTCATGTTGTACGAGTCACTTAGATGTTACAAATATGTGAGTCATTCACAGTTCGGCACATGTATTTGTAAAATCTAAGTGACTCTTACAACATGAAATTCATATAAAACAGAAAAATCAACAAGTGTTATGGGGGGGTCGACTCTATATATATATACAAGTATGGCAATTTAATTCTTGGAATGCACCTTTAAAAACTACACTAGTACACTAGTGGCTACTGTCACCTTGAAAGTACTCTCCTTGTGCATCTATACACTGACTTAAATGACATTTTTGGAAGCAGGCCTGGAACTCATTTTTCAGAATACTGTTGAGCAGCTGTCTAAGAGTACATGCAGGTTCTGTTGTATATTAGTTATATTAGAAAATCCTTGTCCTTTCAGCACAGCATTTAATATAGGAAATAACAAGAAATCACAGAGAGCTAAGTCAGGTGAATAGGCAGGATGATCTAATTGAATAATTACTTTTTTGACCAGAAAATGTCTCACAGTGAGTGCACTGTGACTTAGTGCATTGTCTTGAAGAATGATCCATTTGTCAGGCCACAGTTCGGGTCTTTTTCTTTAAGCAGAATCTCATAATCTCTGCAGTATTCTAAACAGTATTGTTGATTGACTCTGACCCTGTTCAATAAATTCTTGGTAAACTATTCCCTTCTGATCAAAGAAACATACCAGCAAGGTCTTGAACTGTGAGTGTGACACACGTCTTTTTAGGGAACAGTAAACTCTGGGCTTTTCATTGCATGCTCTAACGTTTTGTTTCTGGGTCATGCTGTAATGTTTCGGTAGTGCATTTGCCAATTTTCACACAAAATTTAATATTAATATGTTGCTATAAATTTCAGTCACCCATTTTTATGACACACAGATAACTATTACCTTCCCAATAGCTAATTAACAACTATCTCTAAACTTGACATGCATTTGACTTGCATGACTAATATGTGCATAAATTCCAAGCCGCTTGCAATTTATGAACATATTAGTTGAAATTTATTTGAAATTTATGCATATATTAGTTCAAACATGTTCAAATATAAATGCATGTCATTTCAACATAATTATGTCATGGGTGACACTATGCAGCAATTCCGAGAATTAAATTGTCACACTTTGTATATAAAACTTTTTAAAATACAGTGGGTGATCAGTTAACAAATAAATCGGATAACGAATACTTTTGCAAAAGATTTTTATGTTCAGATAACAAACACCTCACAGAACAAACACAAGAAGAAGTGACGTAAAATAATGAATGCTAATTGGTCTTCCCTTGTCTTCAGACAACAATTCAAAACTTTTTGGCATGCAAGAGACATTGACATCGATGCTCAACTTGGTATATAATGATCAGATAGTAATCCTCCGAACTTTGAAACTCTCCCTTGTAATTACAGCCTTTTATTTTTCTGACAGAAACAATTTTTTTATAGTATTTGCAAGACTGTCGGGCAGGCACTCGTTAAGTTTTGCATCGGTTTTTATTTTTGAAAGGTGAGAGTATAATAGCAAAGGTAGAGAGTGGGCAGATGTCTGATGTCTGTTGTTGCTGGGCCATATGGTTTCAGCAGGTCTACAGTAGGGCCCAGTTCAATCTTATCTAAGAAAGATACTGTATTATCAAGAAGACTCAAGCAGCTAAAGGAGTAACAAAAATCACATCTGAGAAATAAAGAATATTGAACAGGTCATAATGGAACCTGAAACTCATATGACGACAGAAGAACACCAAGAACTCTTGAATGAAGAACACCAAGAAACTCAGTGAGCTATGTTTTCTTCTGAGAAAGAGAATTAACGTCGATATCTGCTATTAAACAATTTTTTGAAGAAGTGAGATAATGTCAGAATGACAGGTCTTAGAATGGCATCCAAACCAGTTGAGGTTAATAGGCTTAGGGATCTCTACAATTACAATGCTATTAATTACTTCTGAAAAATCCTAAAGAAGAGAGAAGAGCAATCAACTTTAGAAAGATTCTTTAACCCTACAAACGGAAAAAACATGACTAATAAAAATGCAAAATGACTGTGTATGTATGTATTTTTATTATTACATATAAATAAACATAGTAAGAAAGTATATATTTTTTATTTTTTAGGGTCTCCAGAACAAATTAATCAAATTCCCATAAAAACCTATGGTAAATCGATAATCAGTTAACAAACAATTCAGATAGCAAACAAAGATTTGGAATGGTTCATTAACCAATCACCCACTGTATACGTATTTATTCTCTTTCACTTTGTTTTCCTCTGCATTACTTCTTAATTAATATAAACTCATCATTAATTAATTTAATCTAAACAAGCCCATATAATAATTAGTCCAGATTAGTGAATGAGTAAAATAAACAAATTTTTAATTTATGACAAGAAAAACATAACTAAAGTACTGATCAGATTTTTTTAATCAATTCATAATTTCGGAGAAACAATGACTAAACTTCTGTGAAGTATTCATTTTAATTTCTTTTAGCCAGCTTTGATTTTTGATTTTATATGAAATCTATAAACATCTAGTAATTTATTGAAGATGTAATAGATTTGTAATGTTACATTTTGTTTTTCAGCATGATACAATGTATCAGGTAACCAAGAAATTGGGTAGTTTTTGCAATAGCCACTATTGCAAAAACTGCAAAACGTTTTTGTTTATCTGATATCATATTTAAATATTGTCCACTTCACGATCCAACAGTGAAATACTTTGAAACAGTATTTGATATGAATGATGTGCCAACAAATCTAATGTGCATCTGATTTTCAAGATTTCAAAGCAAATGACACAGCATTAAGTCAACTTTGTGTTCAATTCTAATAAACACTCAACTTTTGAGACCCAAAAAGTCCAAAAAAGTAGTGTACATCAAAATTGAGAAAATATTCCATATCATGATTCTATGATATACTACATTTATGTCAACTCTGAGAAATCTGATGTAGCCATATGTATATTTGCTTTAAAAGTAGATTATTTTATTCCAAGCCCAAACATAAACCTCACATCCTTCAGAACTACTTACAAAAACAAATTAGTTTGTGATTTCAGCAAAAAAAAAAATATAATTATGTAATGTATTTTAATTAATTAATTAATTAATGACAATACAATTACAGTACTATATATTTAGTTTTTCACTTTAGTTACAATCTTTAGTATAATATAGATTATACCATGATTGTAATCTTTGATAGTTTAAAATTAATATTCAGCCAAAATGATTCTAGCAACAAATCTACTTTGATTTATATAGATTAATCTGTTATATAATGTATTGTTGATTTTATGCAATTCGTATTAAAATAATAATAAAAATAACTATCTGGATTCACAAACTTTAATTTGTGTGCAAAATTAGTCGATGAAATAATGTGAATTCTGAAGAAAAAACATGATTATAGTACTTTAAACCAGTGGTTCCCAATCTTTTTCATGTATTAAATAAATATACACTTTATTCTTCAATACATTTTCTTGTAAGTTATATGTAAAATTTCAAAAATGTAAACATTCTTGTAAAAATATTTTCAAGAATTTTTTAATGATTATAATTAATAAATAATTAAACAATATTAAATTATTATATATACAT